CTCGTTGGACAGCCACTTTGCTTTCTTGCATTTCCTTTTCTTTGGGATGGTTTTTGTTGCTGCCTCCTGTACAATGTTATGAGCCTCCATCCATAGTTCTTCAGGCAGTCTGTCCACCAAATCGAGTTCCTTAAATCTGTTCTTCACTTCCACTGTGTATTCATAAGGGATTTGGTTTAGATTATACCTGACTAGCCCAGGTATGGTGTTGTAAGTCTTCATAGAATTGGTCAATTTCAGTTTCTTCAGCATTGGTGGTTGGTGCATAAACTTGGATTACTGTGATGTTGAAAGGTCTGCCTTGGATTCATATTGAAATCATTCTGTCATTTTTGAGACTGTATCCCAATACAGCTTTTCCCACTCTTTTGTTGACTATGAGGGCTACTCCATTTCTTCTACAGGATTCTTGCCCACAATAGTAGATATGATAATTCTCTGAATTTAATTTGCCAGTTCCCGTCCATTTTACTTCATTGACGCCCAGGATGTCAATGTTTATTCTTGCCATCTCCTGTTTGATAACATCCAGCTTACCAAGGGTCATAGATCTTACATTCCAAGTTCCTATGCAGTATTTTTCTTTGCAGCATTGAACTTTTCTTTCACTTCCAGGCACGTCCACAGCTGAGCATCCTTTCGGCTTTGGCCCAACCACTTCATTAGCACTGGAGCTACTTGTACTTGTCCTCTTCTCTTCCTCAGTAGCATGTTGGACGCCTTCCAACCTGAGGGGCTCATCTTCCAGCGTCATATCTTTTGTTACTGTCCATGGAGTTTTCTTGGCAAAGATACTGGAGTGGTTTGCCAGTTCCTGCTCCAGGTTGATCGTGTTTAGTCAGAACGCTCCACTATGACCTGTCCGTCTTGGGTGTCCCTGTACGGCATAGCCCATAGCTTCTCTGGATTATTCAAGTGCCTTCGCCACAACAAGGCAGCAATCCGTGAAGGGGCATTGAACCATACCATGTAATATGTGTTGAATATATTACAGGATAAACAGCACATATGCCTGCATCTTTTCTTTAGTGGACTAGGTAAGTAAAAGCCACATTAAGGAGGACATTTTGGATGTAAAATATCACCATGGGGAAAGTTAAGAACCCCCTCTGTCCTCTCATTCATTTTATACATAGAACCACAGAACTACATCTAACGAAGCTTTGCCCACAATGAATCCAATTTCATTTATGGGATATTAGAAAAATAGCTTCAATGCTATAATGTATTATTAATAAATTATATTATAATTTATTGTATATTAATAATAGATAATATAATCTATTATGTTACATAAAACATTTTTCTGATGATACTGAAAATTCAGTATACTGAGATATTATTTAATTATCTGAGCATGTGTTAAGGCTGTGAGAACATGCTGACTTCTCTGGAAGAGAGAACACCTATTTTCTTACCCAAGGTCTTAGAGGTGAAGGGGAGGATCCTGTACTCAGGAAGACCTGTGTCATTTTGGAGATAACGAGATCTGCTATTAGCTGTCTGTCTTCCTCTATGTGCTCCCCAATCAGAGGCATTGAGCTGTCCATCACCTGCAGAGATGAAATAAATCACACAAATGGAAGCTAGGTTCTTGCATTTATGTTATGGCAACCAAGGTAGTGAGAAAGGACTTGAGTACTGAAAATACAGATGATCATATAACTTCATGGAATTATTTCGTAGGTACTACTGTGACTCACCACACAATACAGTTCTTCAGCTTTCTTTAAAGTATGAAGTATAAAGTATAATGGTTTAACCAGCCTCTCAACCTTTCTTTGGCCACAGCCATAAATACAATATGAAAAATATAGGTTGAATCAGGATTGTATAAATGACATGATGAAACTAATAAGGTGGTGGGTGAAGAATTGTTCTCAGTCTGTTGCCCCCCCCAGGGGGCTATATGGTCCCCATAGTTTGGCTGGTCCAAACCATACCATGCTAATAATCTCTTTTAAAAATAGAGTAAAGAAGCATATCCAAATGTCTGCAGTTCCTGACTTGTGCACATTATGTTTTGATGGCTGAAATCTTGTAGATGTACCTATTCCAGTGGAAGGATTATGGCATCACCAGCAAGAGGAGATTTGTAGTAATGAAAGAATTTCCCTTCCTCTTTCTTGGCTTTTCGGATTTGTGAATAATTCCTTTCATTGAGTGGGAGCTAAAGGAAGGGTAGAGGAAATCTTTCAATTCATTTTACAAAATCACAGCCACTGGATTATATTATGGGCATTGGGATATTTTCTGTAATGGAACACTTCCTCCTCTCATCCCATGGCTCCCACAACTTCCACTCAATGAAAGGAATTTGCAAGTCAGAAAAGCTATGGGAAGGCACCAGAAATCTTAACCCTGCTAGTAATGTTGTTACCATTCAATGTGTGTAGCTATGCCAGCAGGGCTTTGGTTATAAAATAAGGTGGTCTGACTGATTTTGTGTTCCTTGGAAACTCCAAAAGTCAACCACCAGCTTCCCTCCCTTAAAAAAAAGAGAGAAAGCAATGCATACTGCTTCAATACCACCCTATAGCACTTAAAATGGGGACGTGGTGGTGCTGCAGGCTAAACCGCAGAAGCCTGTGCTGCAGGGTCAGAAGACCAAGCAGTCGTAAGATCGAATCCACGTGACGGAGTGAGCTCCCATCGCTTGTCCCAGCTCCCGCCAACCTAGCGATTCGAAAGCATGTAAATGCAAGTAGATAAATAGGGACCACTTCAGTGGGAAGGTAACAGCATTCCGTGTCTAAGTCGCACTGGCCATGTGACCACAGAAGATTGTCTTTGGACAAACGCTGGCTCTATGGCTTGGATACGGAGATGAGCACCGCCCCCTAGAGTCGAACACAACTGGACAAAAAAAAATGTCAAGGGGAACCTTTACCTTTACCTATAGCACTTAAAGCACTGTCTGGGTGGTTTATAAGTTAATTATTCAGACTACACATTGCCCCCCCACACCCCCAAGCTGGGTACTGATTTTACCAACCTTGGGACGATAGAAGGCTGAGTCAATTCTGAGCTGGATAGAAACCCAGGTTTTGGCTGCAGTACAGCAGTTTAACCACTGCGCCACAAAGGAATTCATGTTTCTGGAATTCTCTAAGAAGCACAATTCTCAGGCTCATGTTTCTGGAATTCTCTAAGAAGCACAGTTCTCACCTAAAAGAAAGGGCAGGTGCTTACATGCACCCTTAAGGAAACTACCCAGTTCCCCCGAAAATAAGACCTAACCTGAAAATAAGTTCTAGTGTGACTTTTCAGGATGCTTGTAATATAAGTAAGCCCTACCCCCAAAATAAGCCCTAGTTAAGTGAAGCCCCTCGAGGAGTTAACCTCGAGGCAAAATCTGGAGCCGGAGTCCCGGAGGCAATTCGTGTCATTCTGGCAACTCCTGCGATGTCGCTGGAACCAGTTGTATTGGCTCTTGCCTTTCCAGTTCAGCGATGTGGAGAGGGGGGATTTGCTGCTATCCTCCATATTATTTTCCCCAGGCTTCATGCTGGAGCTTTGCATACAGCATCAAAACAACACGGGAAGTAGCAATTACCAGTTATAAGTCTTTGCTTGATTGGCGTAGAGCATGATGCCAGGGGCTACTTCCGACGGTGGGAGAGGGCGTTGCACCTCACTAGGTAGCTACTGCCCACCTTAAGCTGGGCAGTCCCCAGCCACTAACGGGACAGATTGCACTTGTCTGCAATGTGGAAGGGATTGTGACTCTTGAATCAGCCTTCTCAGCCACACTAGATGCTGTTCCAAGCCCTCCATACAGAGCACGTTACCATAGTCTCTCGAGACTGAAGGATGCCTAAACTAAAGGTAGTATGTAAGAATTGCCCAGTCTTTGCAAAAAAAGGCACCATTTGGGATAGCATCCTCTTCACACCTTCCCAGTCTCAGGTTGCATGGATAAGAAAGGTTACTTTTGGATGACAACTACATCAGGCATTCTGAGAGGTATAATCTAAAAACGTAACCTTAACTGTCAGTAAGAATTTCACAATTTCCTGTGAACACTGCCTCCTTGTGCTATTCTCTTTTGCCTATCTCGATAAAGTGAAATGTTGGCCCTGAAGCTAGAGAGTTGAGTCACTGGCCCACAAATAGAACAATGACACCATTCTGGGCAGTGGCCATCTTTATTCTGCAATGGTTTCAAGAAAATCACCTAGTTTACGTGATGATCTGCTGCATACATCCGGCAAATAGAGGCTGTTATTGCTTCATCCATCAGTGGTGTCTCTTTGGGTCTGCAATTTTTGTCTGCCCGTTGGCATTGTCTTGCTAGAAAAATGCTTGAACCTATCTTTCAAAGTCCTTGAATACCTCACTAACTTTTTTTTAAAGAAGTGCAATGGGGCAGAGACTGGAGGAGGCACTGGTTCAGAAATGACACAAGCTTGAATTGCAAAACTAGGACACAATCCAAATGAAGATACACATTTCTCAGCTCTGCTGTTTCCAATGGCATAGAATTTAAGTGTTTCCTTAAGGATAAACTGGAACATATTTAAATCAAACCCACCCTGCCTAAATACATCCTTGTATAAATATAAGTCAGAAAATACAATGCAATCCATCTCTTATGTTTGACGAAGTGGACTTGTCCACAAAAGCTCACATTAAAATATAGCAGTTAGTTTTTTAAGGTGCCACATTTTTGTCTTCTTAATCTTCTTCATTGCGAGTCATTTAATTATCTTAAGCTGATGCTCCTTGATGCAAAATTGAAGCTGGTCTCTGCTTCAGTTTCCTTTTATTATT